TTTTTTTTACTTTTTCGATATCATTATATGTTATCATCATTAAAAGAGGTGGGAGGTGAAAGGATATGCATGGGGCGTGTTTTCGATGATTTCATGACCTTCACTGAATGCTTTGTGCCACTCAAATGTTTGTGTTCGAAATAAAATACATTCGGCAACATTTTCAAGCATACCGAGGGTGTGATTCCATTATAAACACAAATTTCAAGAAAATTCTCTGAACAACCATGGTAAAAATCGCTTTGTATCAAGTGCGTTTGCACACCCAGCTTGTAAAAATCAGTCTGGGTCAAATGTGATCAGATAGTAAACACTTTCTCCAGAAGAAATTAAATTTAGCAAATCTACATAAAATTGTGAAATTTGTGTCCGCTAAATGTTAATAATCAAACAATTAATAATTTTCCACAATTTCAGTTAACTAAATTGTAATCATCAAATAAAAGAAATTATAATAATAAATTGTCGAATAAAAAAATGAATTATTAAAGAAAAAGTAATGAATTATTGATAAGAAATAGTAATTTCTAAAATAAAAAATAAAAAAAATCATAACTTTCCATAGATAATAATTTTCTGCCAACGAAATATTCTTAGTCATTGCAACCGCATCACTTTATTTTAATCATTAAACAATTGGACTCATTTCGTTCTTTCATCTTCTGTAGCAAACGCTGCTGCCACAGCTACTACAACTACAACTACGCATCTCAACAACTTTAACTTCACAACAACTATCGCTTCCTGTGCTCATCTTCTATCGCTTTACAACTATTTCCAATACAAAAACAATTGCAAACAATATTTTATCAGTTGCAAAGTCAAAAACAAACGAAATCGAAGAAGAACTGCATTTTTTGCCATTTCCATTCTGTCCAATTTCTGCCTTTTTCGCCATTTCTTCACACTCTTTTACACACCTGTTGCGCCTCCACGAAGCGGAGACGACGACGACGCTTGGTCTGCATGCCTTGTGTTGTTGCATGTGGCAAGTATTTAGACTCAAGGTAACTAGTTAGTGAGTGTGCTTGCGCTGGTGTGTATATGTGTGTGTGTATTTGTGAGCTGTATATGTGTGACCCACTTGCAGCCGCCAAGTAGCAAATTGAGAAATAAATAAAGATAAAAAAAAGACTGAGCGGGAAAAATCGCAAACGAAAAACTTGCACAAAAACAAAAACGCGAGGAAAAAAGAACGATTTAACTAAAACAAAGATAAACTATGCGCCATCACAAAAAAAACTAATAATAATAACAACATCAAGCAGCCGTGTGCCGACAAGCAACGAAACGAATGCAAAATTAACAAAAAAAAAAAACACAAACAACAACAACAAAAATAAAGTGCCAACAACGCGGCCTATGCGCTTCTTTGTGATTTTCACTTAAGGAATTCCCAGCAACAGCAGCAGCAGCAGTAGCAGCGCCAGCAACTAAAGGCCAGCGAGCAGTAGGAAATAGCATAGCTCATAGCACACGGCCAGCATTCGCGCAGCGCGAGCAAACTTGCGGTCAACACATAACAACACAAATAATTCAAAATTGTTGTCGTTATTGTTGTTGTAGCGGCTTTTTAAAACCTCAAATTTGCGCTTCTCCGGTTGCCAACGTCCGTGGAGACCTTACAACCTGCCCAAATATATATTTATGTGTCACGCGCACACAAGCAACAACAACAACTGTTAAAAAAGCGTAAAAGCATTGTGGTACCAATCAAATTGAAGCGTGTGAATAAATTACCCAACAGTCGCCCCAACGCCGGTAATCGGAAATTTTCACAGTCGCTGGGCGAGCGCTAAACGAACGAGCGTGCAAGACATTTTAATTGCTGGTCCGACGAAGTGCGCTTGCGGCCAGTTGTTGCCATCAACGCCTGCGACGTCGGCGAAATTCACTGTTGTTTTTGTATTTTTTGTTAGCTGCTTCGCTTTGTGTAGCTGCACTGTGCGGAGCTTTGGCGCATGCGCGTGTAGGCGTTTTTCTATTAACCACTGAACAAATTGCCAAGCAAAGCCAATCGAATTCACTTCGGTTTTTGATTGCAGGTGAGTGAGTTATCTCATGGCTTTCTTACTACATACACACACACACACATATACACACATAGTTTAAGCATACATAGTTTCAGCCTTTGTGTAGGAACAATAGCAAAGTTTTATACTTTTGCCTTTCATCTTTGAGTTGTCGCTTGGCCCATTGAAAGTGAAATTCTACGCGCGCTTCCACCGTTTGCCGCAGACATCTTTCTGTGTTTATGCAAATAAATTCAGATAATTTTGTAGCCCTATGCAAATATTTATTTACAAAATGTGTTGTATTTTTTAGCGAAAGCGACATCGCGTCCCTTTCAAATATCTATTAATCATTATGTCAATTATTGATTTAGCGCTATTATTTGAGGTTATGGGTTATTTGTGGCAGATTTATGGGCTTATAACGCTAGGGATGAGTAATAGTTGTATTAAAATAATTTCTATATCCGTTGCCGCCGTGATGTAGAGTAAGAAATGCGATTACCGATTTCACAGAACTTGATTTTAACTCTGGTCCGATCAACGTCAAAAATTGTTCGAGTTCGCTTATCAATACGAGTGGAGGCAAACCACTTCTTTTTCCGTCAAAACTCCATCCCTAATTTTGCGGTGATTTTAAAAATTCAAGAATCCTCGACTTTGCGGATAACATCATAACTTAAAAAGACTTCTCGTAAAAAATCGATCCACCGAATATACTTATTAAGTTCTATAATAATTGTGTAGATTTTCTTCTGCTTTAGATATTACTAGAAGAATCATAGCTACGAAAACTTTTCAGACCTTCCGAAGTTATCAGATTAATGCCTGTTTGGTTCATATTGGAATCATTTGATTCTTAAACTCCTATAAAAGGTTAGTCTTTCCAGGCCGGTATGTAAGCACCGATTTGAAAGAATGCATGCAGCATACTAATTTCTCAAGGTCACACCACTTCGCTAGCGTTCAGCAGTAAATTGGAATTTAATAATATGCCGGGGCTAGGTCACCCTCTGTGATTTAAGAGAGGGCACAATAGGCCTAAGGTCGCGGTGCATTTCTCGACTATCTATCTAATCTAATCTTCTCGAGGAAGAACGACTGTTTCACATGAAAGTTACGAATAAAGCGGACGTCTGTCTGGGAGTAAGCGGGTAGAATTATAAGCACGTATTTCTATGACAGGTTCATAGACTGATGTAATAGCCCTACCAACAAATTAGGATACTATTTTCTGATGACACTTGATTACTGAAACTTGCCCTGCGCCTCGTAGTTAAGGAAAATAATATAATAATCGGTATGTGTATCAGTATGTATTAATTTGTTCATGATACTCCTTTAAGGAGCATGAAACTACGGATAATAGAGGAAAAGTGTGAACGTTTTGGACCGAAGGGTGAATTATTAAGTGATATCGGGTGGTTAGGTTCTTAAAATAACCATGAAATGCTTATAAATCTGTGTAACCTAGAATTCTGGCGATTTAATTAATTTTCTATCGAACCTTTTTGGTCGGGAAACTATCTAAAGGCTTTCTCATACATTTTATAGCTAGATGTTTTTTTTTTCTAACCGCTGAGTTTACAAGAAAAGTTATACTTAAGAGCATGTTGAAATCAATTCCAGAAAGGAAAATCTTGTTTGTTTTATCCTGCTAGTCGTTGGCTGTTTGAAAATTTCGCTTGAAAATCTTAAACGAGGATGCATTAACGAATGTTTACCATTTATTTCTTGAAGATTATCTCTTTAAAATGTTGGCCGCAACTATGTTTGAGAAGGTCCATTCGTTGAGCCCAATTTTCGATGACTCGTTCGAGCATTTCGGCTGGTAACTGGCGACATGACACGCGTGATATTTTGCTTCAAGACCTGAATTGAAGCAGAGAACTTATACTATACATATACCCATAGGGAAAAGTCTATTGGTGTGATATCACACGTTCTTGGTGGCCAATCGACCGGCCCAAACCGGAAATTATCTGCCGACCGTTGAAATCAATTATCCCTGAGATCACGAGCTTGAATTTCAGGCATAAAATAAACGGTTATCAAGCCGCGATAACGGTTGAAGAAATATAGAGCGATAATTCCACCGGCTCACAAACCACACCAAACCGTTGCTTTTTCTGGATGGAATGGTTGCTTTTGATTATTTTCAGGTTGCGCATCGCCTCAAATGCGGCAATTGTGCTTGTTTACATACTCATTGAACCAGAAATAAGCCTCATCGCTGGAAAACAGCGAAAACGTCCGATCTTGTTGGAACTTTTGAAGAGTCCATAGAACGAAGCCATGTCGCTTGGGAAACTGTATTTTGCACGCTTTCAATTAAAGATCTCGACAAAGAATGCGCCAAGTCGTTCCATACATCAGTCCGATTTGCAGTTTGTAATTTTAATTTTGAAAAATTTTTAAAACGTTTTTTATTTCACTAAACTATTTGAGCAAGATTACAAAACTTTCCAAATATGCTTATACGCGTACTTAGATTCCTAAGTTCAACTGCCGGCCACCGTTCAATGTCACGTTTCAAAGTAAAGACGATGTATTTGCCAAGCATTTGACAGATACATACACTCGTATATATTTATATATTATTTACTTATTGCAGTGGTGAAATGCACTTTCAGCTCTAATCATTTAACCATAACAAATACCTATCAAATTATTAAGTTCAACGCCGCTGCCGCACTTATATACCTACATATGTATATACCCGTACGTATAATGTATGTATAAACATATACATGTGTACATAAACGTATACGCATTCCCACTGCTGTTTAGTCAGACGCACTGACTGCAGCTTTCATTTCTCTTTTTCCAACGGTATTTTTATGATTTTTTTTATTTTTGTTTCTCATATTTACTTTTCAGACATACATACATACACATGTATAAACATGCGTACTTAGAGATTCACTTAAGTGCTTATAAGTTTAGAATACCATCACCTTGCCACTTTGTTGAGGTTAAGTGTCGGACGCTTTAATAGTCCCAAAAGAGCTGCCTCGCAGAATTGTCTAAATATGGGTGTTGAAAATTTCATTTTTTTATATTTATTTTTCTTAATTACTTGCCATTACTCTCGCCCTCTTTTCTCATCTCAGCGCCTTTATGTCAATTTAATCATTCTGCCTGCTTGTTTTCTTCACCGGTTCGCCATCGAAAATGCTTTGAAAGTGAGCTTGCATTATTTGAAAGGTGTTGGTGCTTTGCTAATTGTAAAGGTGCTAACATTTAATTGAAACGCCACAAATTTCACAATTAACCGTTTGCAGTTGAATTTAATTGGTGTTATTTAGAATCTCTGATTTGCTTGGGTTATTTGTGCGCGTGCGCAGGTGGCAAAGTGCTAGAGGCAAAAGGTCTAATGAAACGAAAGTTACAGGTGATAATTAAAGAGTTGAAATGCGATGTAATAATGGCAAAAAACTTTTGAAATGAAATTGAAGCCACAATTTGTTTAGAGAAATTTTTTAGTTAGAAATTCTACTTTTACCATCTGGACTTGACGTTTAATGAGAGAGTAGACTTTTTAGTTATTTTGTGGTGAAAAGAAAAATAATTCTGCCAATTTCGTCTTACCAACAAAACTCCTTTTTCTACATACCTACATAAATTTTTGATTAATAATATTTTTTTTTCAATAAGCTTTATTTCTAATTTTGAAGGCAAATATTTAGATTTTTTAGGATAACTTCAAAAAACGGAGAACTGTTTTGCTTATGAATCAGTCTCAATTGGTTTGGTTCAGTAGCAAATTTATAACTCGATACTATTGAAGAAACCTAGTCAAGATTTTAAAATTTTGCTCACAAATAAACATATTGTAAACTCTATGCTAAAGCGCCGTTAAAATTAAGACCGCTCGAAAGGCTTCCGAGTGACATTCTTTTAATATCTTAAATTTGTCCCCACTTTTATAAAAATTTTTAATTTTAATTTTTTGATGTTTGGCAACTCTATTCCCAAAATGTGACAAAATTGAAGATTAACCGACAAAAATGGATAATGTAATGTTCGAAAGATTTTCGAAGTTTTAAGTTGAAAGAGTATAAAATGTTCGATTACACACGAAATTACCCCCACTTTACTGATTTAGTAAAAATTTTGTTTATCTCTTTGAATAAAATGGAAGACCAAACTCATCAACATTCATGGCTTTTAGTCCAGTATTCGCCGCAGTCTACGCAATGGTCTTTAATTCAGTTATGTATGATGGCGTTTCTGTATGTTCTACACTACTTTCCCAAAATACGTCATGACATTAGCAGAGATTTCCAGTACCTCATCCGAACAAAAGCGTTCCATTGCTGAAGAGTTGGTCATCAACATCAAGCAAAACTGTGGTGATCGAATCACGGTGGGACGACATACATTTGTAAAAAGTGTCCGAACAAAGTCTTCTCAGAAGATAAGCTAAACTCTTAATGTACTAATTGTCTATTAGAAAAATCCCTGTTATAGCAACTTGTAGTCCGTACGATAGATGAGACTGAAGCTCCTTCTCTCTCCCATGAATACTTAATCCGGTGGCTGCGTGGGAGAGATATGAGTTGGGAGTAGTATCGGTTTAGCGTATAAAAGTTCCACACTCTGGCTTTCGATGCTTCCTCTTAATATAAAAAAGGAACCTCTAGCATTTTCTATATCCAATTGTATCCCTACATCTTGCTAGCGCTGCACTATTGAAGCTCTAGACCTCTAGACTGAGTATATCATACAAAAATTCGAAAAAATTCAATCGTAAGCTCTTTTGGTTGAACAGATTTTAATTAAAAACGTTACATACTCCAATCTACTAATGCACCTGCACTACGTATGAATATATATGTATATATATGTATGCGTGTATATGACTTTATATAACTCAAACGCTTTTTAATCAAATATGCTCACAATTAAAATAACACTCCAGCATGCGGTGCGAGAAATGTTGAAAATTTCTTCGGCTTACCAAAGCGTAACAACTGTGACAACAGCCCAGCAGCAACAACAACTAACAATTTGTCTATAAGTACACACAC